TTTTCTGAGCTATTCCACGTGGAAAATCTGATCATAATAATGGAGTGAAAGAAAAACAATATGTTTTTAAAAAAAAAAATTTTTTTTTTTTTTACTAATAAAAAGTTGAAAGTCCCCTGCAACACTGGAGCCAGGGGAACCCCAGTCAGCCTCAGCAGATGGCCGCTCACACTGTGCCTGATTCTGCTGGAGGTTTCCTCCTGTTAAAAGGGAGTTTTTCCTCTCCACTGTCGCTACAAGCATGTTTGGTGTGAGGGTTTCCTTCAAGTCAATGATTCAGTGCAATTAACTGGTTTTCCTTTGATAGAAACCTTTGAATCAATTTGACTGTAAGATCTGGTTGAATTGTCTCTGTACAGTGCCTTGAGATGCGTTGTGAATTGGCGCTATATAAATAAACTAAATTTAATTGAAATTGTATTGGAGGACCTGCAGAGATCTGGGGTGGAAAGCCAGTTGACAGTTAGTAGTGGTCAGCACACATCAGATTTTTGATAAAGACCAAACAAATTGCTGTAAGAATGCATGGGGAAGCCCTGTTTACAGTTTGTGGCATAAGATTATCTGTTCAATTGAGCCCAAATGTAAACATTTAAACCTTTACGCTAAGGTCTCCAAGAGGCAAAAGAGTAACAACCTGAATTACAAACTAAAGACAAAGTGAAATACTTTTATAGAAGCTATGCAACACATCGCCATTACATTGCTCTTTAGACATAACTGCGTATCACCTATATGTTTGCTGCTCGCTCAGCTGCTGCATAATAATTGAAATCAGACAAATAACGTAAACTGTTAATAATTTTAAATAATTGTAAGACAGCATGTTGTTATTCAGTGTATTGTCACTGTTGTTAAAAATATCACATTTTGTCACCTGAACAGCATAAAGGGAGGTAAGCTGCCTGTCAGGAGGGGACGAGGTTTGATCAGACTCTCAGTATCCAGCAGACCTGAGGTCTTATAAATAATCAATATGCTGGTTGTGTAGCAGTCCCTCCAGGCAGAGAAACCAACATTTTATTAGTAAAATCATTAGTGTGTTGCTGGTGAAACGATTTGTTAGGATGTACGTCTTTCAGTTTAATAGCATAATATGTATGGATAAAAAATTAACTAATAAAAAAATAACACAACTAAGTTGTGCATGCATTAAACAGGCCTCCCAAGTCTAAATAATTATCTCCAAAACAAGCCTGTTTCCCTGCTTTAGTCCTGAAAACAAAACAAAAAACATTTACTCTACTCTCCTCACTGCTCAGATACCCCATGGCTGAATGCATCCATTATTGTGCCATAAAGGATGACAAAGGGCGCATCAGTGCACAGTCTTTGCACATTTGCAATGTGAGAGCAACATGGCATGCGCTAGGTGGTGCATCGTGTAACTGAGCAAGTTTACTGTATAGGATTTGATCATTACTATAAGAAAAAAAAAAGAAAAGAAAAATCTGTTGCTCAGCAGCGCCAGTGTGGCCCAGCGGCAATACCTCTCAGTATTGTGTTATTACAGCCTCAGAGTCAATTGACAGCAATAATACAAACGAAAGTTTGATTTAAGCTGTCAAAATAAGAGCTGTCAAAATAAGAGCTGTCAAAATAAGAGCTTTCAAAATAAGACAAGTGTCTAGAAACTTTAGTAGTTGACAGGCGATTAATAATTAACAGGTAATACAAAAGTGATGAACCAAAAATGATATCTATTATGGCAGATAGGAATATTAATAATAATACTAGCACTACTGTTGCTAATTAATTGATTAATTAATTTATTGATTGACTTTATTGATCTCACAGTGGATAAATTAACTTGTTACATTAGCTCAAATAGTCAAAGAAGAAGAATGTGCCAAAGGAAGAAAAAAAAAACAAAAAAACAATCATGATAATATTTTATAATGCATCCAGCAATTTTAAAACAGGCTTAAATTGGAGGCAACTGGACTTCCATTTAACTATTTCTAAAAAGGTTATGACACCTTACCAGGAGTGTTTTGTCAAAATAGATAAATAAAAACTAAAATAAATAACTTTAAAATAAGTAGGTAATGATTTTTACCTGAAATTTGACAGATAAACTTAACATAGTAAGAATATGAATAATACGCTTAAAACTAGTATTGCACCGATACCAGTATCGGGGGTGGGGCCCGATCCAGCACTAAAATGGTAGTAGTACCATTTGGCGAGTACCAATAAATAGGGCACCGATACCATTTTGAGAGATTCACAAAGGTAGGCAGCAGCTTGACAAAGCCATGATGGCAATTATTTTACATCCAAGTATTATGCAGTTCTTCATATATACACACACACACATCAATTTCAAACAGATGGTATCGGTCTGGTATCTGTATCGGTATTGGGGACCAAAAAACATTAATTAAAACCTATGGTTAAAGGAAATTGAAATAAAAAAGCAATAATAATAATTAACATAGTAATAATGACAGACAGACAGATTTTATTTTGTCATTTTGTACACACAAGTTTATACAAAAAAAAATTTCGTAAGTAGCCTACAGCTTTCTAAGATATTTCATTTTTTAAAGAGCAACAGATAAAAACATTTGTGATTAAAAAAAACAAAAACACTGTGGTGAAAAAAGTGATGTAAACATATGACTGTATAGTTACAGTTTCAACATTCAGATTTATATAACTTTATAGATATAGATTTATATAATAATAATAATAATAACAACAATAATAAAAATATTAATAATAATATTGTTATTATTATTAATTATTTGTTTATAATTATGTTTATTGTTTAATAATCATTAATTAACATAGTAATAATATGAATAATACTCTTGAGAAAATAACAACAACAATAATGATAATAATATAATAATATTAATTAGGTTTATTATTTAATAATTACTAACATAGTAATAATAATAATAACAACAACAACAACAATAATAATGTAATAATTATTATTATTGTTATTATTATTATTATTATTATTATTATAAGTAGGAGAAGCAGTTAGGATTATATTTGTCGAAATACTCCAACATTCTTAGAGGATAAAGAACCATAGAAAAATGAAGAATAGATAGTGTAGCCTAGTTCCAGAGCTTTCAGAGTGAAATGTGGCGGAAACGTTGCCCCGCGTGCGTGCTGTCTCGTGCTGCTAGCTTGACAAAGCCTCTGACCACGAACGAGCCAATCGGCAGTGGAAGGCAGAGTTGTTCCCTGTGGCCGCCATTAAAGAAAGGAATCCATGAATTCAAATGGAAACCAACAGGAACCGAGGCTCAAATAATGATCCAAACCATCGCTAAAACGTAGGCCGGAGCCACATTACAAGACGCTTCGCCAGGATGTTTGACACTTTTACCTTCAATTCAGCGATGGAGGAGTGAGACGAGGCGTTTTATTTTTTTATTATTATTTTTTATTATTTTTTTTTTTTAAAGCGGAGATCGTTCTAAGGGGGAGGGGGAGAGTTGCTTCTTTGCTCTCCTTTTCTTTTTGTTTTATCAACATTTTTTATTTTTCTCCGCTCTCCTTATGGTTTAGCGGAGTACTTTTGGGATGTCTGCATAGGGGCGGCATTGTCTCTTTTTATCCGCTTTTTTAAGCCCCGGCGGAGGAAAAAAAACTGCAGTCGGAAGGTTGTTTGTTGAATTAACTCCTCCAGCCAAATGTTACAGGAACATATTCCTCGCTGATTAGGCTCGCGCAGAGAACACACAGCGGCTCATTTTATTTTTTTTTATTAAATTAAATTTCCCCTGGACGTTAAGAAAAGAAAAAGATGGAGAGTTGGAGCTCGCAGTGAAGCAGGATGAGTTCTTGTTTCGTACCGAACGGGGCCAGCTTGGAGGATTGCCATTCCAATCTATTCTGTCTGGTAAGAGATTTAAAACTAAAGGAAAGCAGCCATTTTTAACTAGCTGGACGGAGGCTAGGCTAACGCTAGCCACAGAGCCATCACTTCATAGTAGCTTAGCCAGGCTTAAGGCCCTGTCAAGCTGACAGCATATTTACTACAGGGTTATTTAACTTCAAATAAAACTTATTTCTAACACTTTGACAGTTGGCTTCAAAGGGCCGCCGGTTGGCTTTAACTTTCACTTCAAGGAAATGTCAGTTGGTAAACAAAACTAGCAGCCTTCCTCACTCCTGAAGCTTCAATTAGGTTTAAATTTAGTTGTTTTTTAATGGAGTAGACTGAAAAAAAGTCATTTTTTAACATTTTACTGCTGCAAGCTTCAGTAACAATGCTGTTGCACTTTCGCCCTGTTTATTATTAACCTGCTACTATCAGCCTCTGCATTTCCTCCATGTTTTAAATCCAAACACTTGATGCACTTCGCAGAGCAGCATGAGACCTTTGATCAGTCGCTACTGTTGATGTTTAATGCTGACACCTCCACGATCACTCTGCGTGTCACTGCTCAGCCTGTCCACACAAGCAAAACAAAAAGGCTTTTATTTTTCCTCGAAAGTTTCATTGCTCTGTGTTGTTCACTGCTTGTTTATGTGTTTTGTTGTTTGTCTCTGGCTTAACCCTTTATAGGGAACTCAGTGAAATCATTTAGAAATCCAAATTTCCAGCTAATAGTGTTGTTGGAATCCATGTAACATTTAAAAAATATGGATATTTTGATGGGAAAAATTAACCCTTTATAGGGCAAGTTACCATTTTTATTCCCTTGCATGGACCTTACAAATGGAGTCACCCCCGTCCCACAGTGTCTAGTCTAGAAGCACAAGATCTATATCCAGCCATTCAGCAAAGATGCTGCTACATGGCTCTACATCTTATTTTGGCATTTTACCAATTAGATGAACCCTTGAATGATAAATTATCTACAGTAAATTAAGTTGGAAAAAAAAAGTTTAAAAGTCAAGAAAAAAAGGTAAAGAGCTAATTGAAAAGTTGATTAACCTAGTTAACAATTATGTTTAGGTGTATAAACTAAAAGAGATAAGTGCCAGTATCAGCAGTAATGCCTCCAAAGTTTTGTTGATCCAAAAAAAATTTGTTTCTTTCCCTCTCAGTTTTGTCATGAATTTCTTATAGAAGCACTTTTGTTATTTTTCTTAATTAATCAGTCAAGTTGGCATTTCTTGTTATTACATTGACATTAACACTTTATAGGGCACTAGGTGAAATCCTTTGAAAATTCAAATTTCCAGCCAATAGTGTTATTGGAATCCAGGACAACACCTTATTACCTTTGTAACATTAAAAAATGTGGATATTTTGATGGCAAAAATGAATGTAATGTAGCAAGAAAAGCCAACTTGATTGACATTGACAACACTGATTAATTTAATTGATTAATTTACAGTAGGTATAACCTTAGAGGCATTACTGCTGATACTGGCACTTATGTTTTTTAGTTTATACACCTAAATATAATTGTTAAGTAGGTTAATTAACATTTTACTTTTTAACTTTTCACCTTTTTTTTCTTAACTTGATAACTTATTTTTCAGCTTCATTTAACCTAACAGCCATGTTTTTGGACTGTGGGAGAAAGCCGGAGTACCCGGAGAGGACGCATGCATGCACAGGGAGAACATACAAAGTCCATGCAGACCCCAGGCCGGGAATCAAACCGGAACCTTCTTGCTGCAAGGCAACAGTGATACCCACTGAGCATTTAGCTTTTTACCTTTATTCTTAACTTGATAACTTTTTTATTCCAACTTAATTTACAGTAGGTCATTAATCATTCAAGGGCTCATCTAATTGGTTGAATGCCAAAATAAGATGTACAGCCTTGTAGTACTGTCTTTGCTGAATGGCTGGATATAGATCTTGTGCTTCTAGACCTCACTGAGGTACAGAGGGGGGAGATTCCATTTATAAGGGGTATACAAGGGATAAAAAAAACGGTAACGTGCCCTATAAAGGGTTAATCTGCTTGGACTTCATATTCTGGTATGAGTACCAACTAGGGCACAGGCTGATTATATAATCTCTGGCATTCAGACCTCTTGGCAATACAAACAGAAAAAAAATGGTTTGAAATGAAACGTATCCTGCTTTCCTCTGGATGTATTTCTTCATGTGATCGTGTTGCCAGTTGTGGCTGCTTAACATCCCCCTAAATAGCTGTGGTCAGAGTTCTCCGATATTATTTAAATCCCATTTGAGACAAACAGTGCATTAAGAGCCACAGCCTGCTCTATATTCTTGGCCACAGCAGCAAATCTAGAGGGCCTGTTTACAGTCCATCCTCTGGCCAGATCATCAGGAAAACAGCAGCAGTCTGTTTTGTTGTGGCAGTTTATGCGCCTGTCGAGATGTTTTCACTACATTTGTGTGTCGATATGGGCCTGCTAAGGTGTCGGTGATTTAACACTATGTTCATGAGCTTTGGGTCATGACCGAAAGAACGAGATCCTGGATACAAGCGGCTTAAATGAGTTTTCTCCGTAGTGTGTCTGGGCTCTCCCTTAGAGATAGGGTGAGGAGCTCAGTCATCCGGGGAGGACTCAGAGTAGAGCCGCTGCTCCTCCACACGGACAGGAGCCAGTTGAGGTGGTTCGGGCATCTGGTTGGGATGCCTCCTGGACGTCTCCCTGGTGAGGTGTTCCAGGCACGTCCCACCTGGAGGAGGCCCAGAGGGGGAACCAGGACACGCTGGATGGACTGTGTTTCTCAGCTGACTTGGGAGCACCTCAGGATTCCCCCAGAGGAGCTGGCCCAAGTGGCTGGGGAGAGGGACGTCAGGGCCTCCCTACTAAAGCTGCTACCCCCGCGACCCGACCCCAGATAAGCGGAAGATGGATGGATGGATTTAAAAATGCTGTCGTCCACTTTAAATATGAGCAATCAGTCTCCTGCAGGTTAAAATCTGCCAGTGTTCCTTTAGCTGTAAGCATTGGATTTATTATTATTATGCATTTACCTGCTGCAAACATACTTGGTGTGAGGGATTGTTGTTGAGTCAATGAATTGATGCAATCAGCTTATCTTCCTTGGAAAGAAAACTCAATCTGACTGTATGATCTGGTTGAATTGTCTTGTTCAAGGGTCTTGAGGTGTTAGGTGTTGTGGATTGGTGCTATATGAATAAACAAAAATGAATTAAATTGAACTTCTGATGAAAAAAAACAACAACAAAAAAACCCCCAAAACTGCTGCATGTTTTGTTTTTCTCTCTTTGGGACAATTCCAGTTTTTGTAAAACAAGCAACGGAAATGGGTCAAAATGAAAACTAGGGCTGAAACAGACGGATTAACTGATTGTTGAAATCATCTTAAACTAATTTAGTCACCGTTAACTGGATTATAGACTCTATAACATGTCTTTAGTGGACATATACTTTGCATTTAAGATTAGAAAAAAAACTTTTTCGTCTGTCAATATGTTCTATCCAAAACTCCTTGTGTGGAAAAGTTTTAGTTTCACATGCTTTAAATTTTGCAAAAACTCTTCTTGAAAGAACATTTTGCTCCCCGATTATTATTTGATTAATCAAACAAATAATCCATAGATTTGTCGAATTGGCAAATTAATTGTTAATTGCAGCCTTTATTGAAACCAAGTTGAACTTAATCTGCTGATTTTAGTTTAAAGTTCATTTCAAGAGATGCAAATAAGTACTGATTTTTCCATTATTTAAAGACCTGCTGGTGGCAAAAAGCTTTTAGACAGCAATAATAAAAAACTGAAACATGCAGTCAGTTATTGTTTATAAGCTGCAGTAGTATGTAGAGTAATATGCATGGAAACACTCTAACATCTCAAGCCTAAGGGCAGTTTAGTGACAAAAACCAACCTGGGAGAGAACATGCATGCAAGCCTCACGCAGAAAGCAACTCTTCTGTCTCCATCTGACCCCATCTTCTGATGGAGATAGACGACCCGCAGCCAGAGGTAATAGATATTATTCAGCCTGTAATTATAAAAGCTATTTTAGCAGCAGTATGAACAAATCCTGCCTATTGTTTCAAATAAAAGCAGCGTTTTAAACAGTTTAGTCCCTTTTTTGATGAACTGACAGGATTGCCAGACTGCACTGATTATATATGTAGCGTGCCAAAGAAACCAAAAGAGAGACCTGAGCTTGGAAATGCATCATTTCAAATGCTGACATTAAGAGCATTATGATAACAACATAATGAAATACAAGCCTGCTTTTAGCTCCCGCACCGACACAGCTTCCAAGCTGTCCGCCCTTTTTAAAGGTAACATTTTTCTGCACAGAAAGAAAAGGAAGAAATCCCCAGTCTCAGTGCCGCTCGCTTTGGCCCCGGCCTCTGCGCGCCCAACTCGTAATTATAATGTTTACGACCTCGCTTGAAGGCATCGTCGGCTGCAGCGGACGGACACGGCGGAGGAATGGCCGCTGCGGCGCGGTGCCCGTCTGGCTAACATTTTTCTGCACACTGAGACTAAGCATAACACTGCTGATGTTATGACTCACTTGCTCAACAGAGTCCACTTTGTGGTTTTTATGGCAGAAGAATGTGAACACGTTGTTTCTTCTGCGGAGGGTCTCCTCTGGCGTGCTCTACTGTTCAGTAATGCAAATAAGCCAGTGGGAACCAACTGGACTCTACCTGCAAAACTTTAACTTGTTTAGCAGCTTTTCACTCAGTCAAAACGGTGGGGGATTACCGACGGCTGCAATTTGCATCAGTTTTAGAACAAACGTAAAGAAAAGCAGCTGTTAGTTTCATGTTGACTTTATAACAGGGTTAATTGGGGGGTGGAAAGAAGAGTTGGAAGGAGAGCAGCATCTGTGTCATGATTTGAGCATTCTCACCTGTTGTCTCATATCTTAAAAAGCTAGAAATGCAGCTGTTTGAACACAGTGTTCCCTATTCAGGACTCCAGAGTTGCCAGAGGGAAGGTAAGCAGCTGGCAGAACCAGAGGTCACAACCC